GGGGCTGCTGGTTGCCTACAGTGAGGGGTTTTCTTGCGCAAATTGCCTGCCTTTCAGGCGGCTCTCTAGAGACCACAGGGGGCGATTTCCCCCACCCCCCACCCACGTCCCCTCTTAATCCGCACCTGGTTTTGGCCTGCTATGAGGTACAGACACTCACATGGCGTTCGTATTTGGAGCATGAATCCCACTTCTGCAGCGTGTCGTTGACCGAGCACGGTCCGAGGTGCTTCAGGGTGACGCCTAGGGGTGGAAACGCTCGTTCATGGCGAGGATGTTGTCTTGAGACTACTGTGAGGTGGTTGTGGACTTACCGACTACGGTGGCGCACCTCAGCAGGTGGCACTGGCTGGGGTACGTCACGAGGTCCGAGCCGCACATCCCGGAGGCGGCGGGAAAGGGCGGGCACCCACAGTGGGCTAGGGCGAGCGGCAGGGTGGCGGCCATCACCGAGGCGAGCACCACGTTGAGCAGCATGATCATAGCGTACGTTGGTCTCTTCGTGGGCTATGAGCTGCACACAGAGCTGGCTGACGCTGCACCAGGGTCCAGAGCGCGACTGTCGGGTCGGTGCTCGCGGGTCGCCGTGACTGTTTCGCTTTCAGCGACTGCGACGCTCTGATAAGGCCGCCCCTCTAATATCTCCCTTTTTAGGAAGTATGTAGGCGACCGGCGGCCTATCGGCTTAGCGAGGTCGGCCAGAGGGCGCTGCATGTCGGCTGGCAATATGGCATACAAGTTGCACACAAGTGTGCGATCGCTGGCACATATGGTCCATCGATGGCGGCTGGACAGACTATCGAATAGCGTTGACCACTATCGAATCAGTTTACGACATATAGGTTCTTGCACCCCCCGTGCGGATGTCAGGCGCGTGTCTGCGGGAGAGAGGGGGCACCCCCTCTCGCGCGAGTGAGACGAAGGCTTGTCCCCGTCCCGCCCCGCCCCCTCCTTTTCCGGGCCTTCCCGCCGTCGTTTACGGGGCCCGACGGCACTAAAACGGAAGTAAGGACGCTGAGCGTTGTTGAGTGGATCTGCGGACCGTAAAAGTGCGTACGACCGTCTCGGTACGGCCGGCCGG